CGACCTGATCTGGTTGTAGATGTCCCTGCCCATGGCAGGGGGGATGGACTGGATGGCCTTTAAAGGTCCCTTCCATCCCAAAGCATTCTGTGATTCTGTGAATTACCCTGAACTGTTGGTGACCTCCTCCCCTCTGGACTCCCTCCGCAGCAGCTAAGGGGACGGTTCAACCTTTGGATGTTCTCACGAGCAGGAGAGGAAGAGGGTCCTCCAGCAGACCACTGATTTTCTAGCAAATTGAAGAAACCAGTCTGTGAAACCACTACCTTGCTGTCAAATTGGGCTGAAACTGGCTAATGGCTTCCAAAGTTAATGGAAGAGACAGACAGACAGAAATAGTACAATCACAAGCCTCGTTTCCTTAGGAAACCAAGTGAAAACCAAACGAATCTCTCATGCCATATATTATAAGGAGAAAACCAAAGAGAAACTCAGGGTTTCCATGTATTTCTGTGTCATCTGCTGTCCCATGATTCACACATGGCAGGAAACGGGGAGGGAGCCCGCGGGTCCCGTGCCACCCGGCGTTTGCAGGCTGTGTTTGTACACTTCACACAGCAGCTGGGACTCCTGACGCTGCCCCACATGGTCAATATTGATTTCAAACCTAATTATTTGCTTTATCATTGTGCGTGGTCTGGACACTGTCGTTTTCAGGAACTGCTGCTTCCACCTCCCAGCTGACTCATTTCATCGCAACTATTTTCTTTCACAGAGTGACTGACGGCATCTGCAGGCATCATTCATTTTTTTCTGAATAAAAGAGGAAATAGATCTTCAGATAACTACTTCTTTATTTTAGACTTGCAAATATGCCAGAACTTTATGAGTCATTCTTTCAAAGAAGCCAAAATAGAGTATTGCCAGGAACTAGGTCCCCACCACAGTTACCTCATGGGCTCTCTTCTTGCACAGACCACACGTGCCACTGCCCAAAAAGCCATGAGGCACCAAACAGCAACACAGAAACTCCCGTTAGAAACGGTCTGACCTCCAGAGGCTCCAGTTACTCTCCCCAGCGAAACGATGACCAAATTCCCTCAAATTCCTTCTTTTTCTAATAGATGAAATGGGAATGGATGATTGCGAAAGGAGCTTTCACCGGAAATGCTATGGTTCCTCATCAGAAATAATTCATAATACTAAAATAACTCGTGTTTCATTGTGGCAGCGGCTGAACGGTCACACTCGAAGTGGAAATCCAGGTGCTCTGACTGCAGATCTGCTCTTCCTTATAGCAGCTGCAGAAGCTCAGAGCCCTTCTCCTGTTTCCGAGGACAAGGCACGCGATTACGCGGGGCTGTTCATCTCACACCCTCCGGGGCAAGCGGGGACACTGACTCCGAGAAGATATTTTTGTCTCACCTCACCCGAGTACTATGGCATGGGAACACGGAAAGCCTTTTCTCTTACTCCTAGGCTAGCTGTGTTTAGGACCAGCAACACCAGCAAGAATTCCAGTCTTGGATATGTCAGCAGGAGCTGGAAAAATCAGTGGATCTGGCAAATCGGAGATACACTGCTATGCGGTCAGAGCACGAGACTTCTATCAACGCTGCCCTTACTGACTGCAGGACACCAGAAAAATCACTTACTCTTCCCCATGCCTTCGTTTTTTCACTGGGTAGTAGCACTTTGTACTCTCTGCTGCTGTGGTAGCAAATTCTTAGGATGGGTGAAATACCTGTAACAGCACGTTATCGACCTGCAGCACTGCTGTGAGTAACAAGTGACTGATAAGTGAGCGGTCACATCATCATCACGTTATTCTTTCTCCTTTTTCCCTTCGTTTGTCAATCTTCCGTGCTAAGGCTATGACCACCCCAGCACGTGAAAATACACCCGACTGGGTCAGCAGGGCTAAACCAGAGCTGGGGAGCTGAGTACAGAGACACCCAAATAGACTGTGCAAACGCCAGCAAGGATCGGGAATCAGCCTCTCCGTAAATTTATTACCTCGGCTGGGTGACAGCACCGCGCATCCACGATGCACGTTGTTGTGCGGACACAGCACCACGGGTCTCCAGCCAAACCGTCAGCCACAGCTCATTGCCAAAAGTACCTGAAATCCCGGGTGGGCTCCCCTCCAAGCACCCACCAGACTTATTGCCCAGCATGGCCAAAAGGGCGTTCATGCAACACAACCGTTGACCGATAATTTGGCACGCTGTGTTCACACAACTCCTTGCATAAGAGGTTGGGCAAGCCCAGATCGCCCTGTTCCCTGCTCGAATGTCTATTGCAACATTGACTATTCGCTGCATTTGCAACATCCCTGAGAGGCTGCTGAGCCTGGCGAACCCTAAAAATGATCATCCACTCCTACTGTTCCATGTAGGGTCCAACAATACTGCAACGAGGCAACTCAGGACCATCAAAAGAGACTACATGTCCCTTAGAACAACACTAAAAGGATCTGGAGCACAGGTGGTATTCTCCTCTATCCTCCCAGTCAGGGGAAGTGGTTTAGGAAGGAGGAGACAAATTATAGGATTCACCTGACCAAGTGTGCCCAGGTGGCCAAGAGGGCCAATTCCATCCTGGCTTGCATCAGGAATGGTGTGGCCAGCAGGAGCAGGGAGGTGATGGTGCCCCTGTGCTGGGCACTGGTGAGGCTGCCCCTCGAATGCTGTGCTCAGCGCTGGGCCCCTCACCCCAAGGCGGCCATGGAGGGGCTGGAGCGTGGCCAGAGCAGGGCAGCGAGGCTGGGGCAGGGGCTGGAGCCCAAGGCTGGGGAGGAGCGGCTGGGGGAGCTGGGGGGGCTCAGCCTGGAGAAGAGGAGGCTGAGGGGAGCCCTCATCGCTCTCTGCAACTGCCTGAAAGGAGGCTGGAGCCGGGGGGGTCGGTCTCTTCTATTAGGAAAAACTTCTTCCCGGAAAGGGCTGTCAGGCCCTGGCCCAGGCTGCCCAGGGCAGGGGCTGAGTCCCCATCCCTGGAGGGATTTAAAAGCCAGGGAGATGTGGTGCTTAGGGACATGGTTTAGTGGTGGACTTGGCAGTGCTGGGTTACCGGTTGGACTTGATGATCTTAAGGGTCTTTTCCAACCTAAACGATTCTATGGTTCTAAGTAGGGCAAGAGAGTTTTCCCAAGCTGGCCAGACTTGTATGGAGAGCTTTAAACTAGACTTAGCGGTGAAGGGGGACGGAGTTTTGAGCAACAGAGAAGAGCCAGGAGCTGCTGATGCATTAGGAACCAACAAGGAAACAGCAGTGAAGTGCCTCAGAGGAATTAGGGCATGTTCTTCTAAAAAGGGGACCTGGTCGATAGCCCACCTGAAGTGCCTCTATGCCAACGCACACAGCACGGGTGACAAGGAGGAGCTGGAAGCCACTGTGCGGCTAGAAAGCTACAATCTAATCAATATATATATTCAGTATATAAAGGGAGCTTGTAAGAAAGATGGAAAGAGACTTTTTACCAGGGCCTGTAGGGACAGGACAAGGGGCAACGGGTAGGTTTAGACTGGACAGAAGGAAGACATGTTTTGCACTGAGCCTGGTGAGACGTTGAAGCTGTGGATGCCCCATCACTGGAAGTGTTCAAGGTCAGGTTGGACGGGGCTTGGAGCAACCTGATCTAGTGGTTTACATGCAGCTACTCAAGTGACAAAATGTCTCCGTGCCAGGGTGATCTAGACAGATCCTAGGTGGTGGAAGGAAACTGGATTATTTCTCTACTTTTTCTGCTTAAATGTTCATTTATCCCCCTCAGTCCTGAAGCAAATCCACCCCCGGGCCACGCGCTTCCATGGTTTCAACAGAGGAGCAAACCCCAGAGTATCAAACCCCAGAGTATCTGAGTGGGACAGGGCATTTTTTAACACCACAGGGAAAATCTTATTTAAAAAGGGTGACTGAGCAACCCCACCGCACAGGGGTGGCTGCTGCGAAGCAGGGCCTGAAGCCACCCCAGCAGTGGGTACCCCCACCCCAGGAGGGGCAAGGGGGGCAGCAGGGATGGGGCGAAGGGATGAAGGGAGATGCTGAGGTAAGGGCCACAGAAAGGCGGTGAGGAGAGGAGGGAAGGGGCCAGAAGGGCTAAAGAAAGATGGAGGAAGGCCCTGAGGGAAGAACCAAAGGAAGGGGCTGAGGCGGGGTCAGGGAAGGGGTTGAGGGAAGGCACTGAGGGGGAAGGACTGAAGAGGGGGAAGGAGCGAAGAGAGGGAAGGAGCCCAGGGCACGATGTGAGGGGTGAGGATGAGGAAAGGGTTTGAGGGACTGAGGGAAGGTCCAAAACAAGGGGCCGGGGGAAGGCACTGAGGTGAGGGACGGGGCCCAGGGCAGGAGGTGAAGACTTGAGGGGATGAGGGAAGGGGCAGGGGGAAGAGCCGAGGTGAGCCGGGAAGGGGCAGGGGGAAGAGCCGAGGGCAGGCGCCGAGGTGAGCCGGGAAGGCGTTGAGGGGCTGGGGGGAAGACTGAGGCGATGGAAGGTGCCCGGGCCAGGAGGTGTAGGACGAGGGGGAGAGGGCGCTGAGGGGACGGCGGGAATGGCCGCTGCGGGCCGGTGCCGGCGCGGCGGTGACTCGGGGGAAGAGGAAAGCCGTGGCCGCGCTTTCTTTCCGGTTCAGTTTTCACTTTCTGTTTTTTTCCCCGCTGCCGCCCCC